CTTACCTGATGGGTGACAGGCTATGGACTTGCTCTGGTTCCCAGCTGGGTGGGACACAATGCAGGTTGTATTAGTCACGTCGGTGCTGTATGCTGTGAACTTGCTGAGAACAGTCACTGTCCCGTTGTCGTGGCCTTCTTCCCTGGGGGTGGAGTTGCTCTCTAGGACCCACGAGATGTGAGCAGCCGGCTTCCCGGCCGCTGCCTCGCACACGGCGTTCCCGTGGTCATCACAGTACAGGGTCAGCCTGGGAGGGACTGCAAAGCATCAGGGAGGGGAGATGCATGGAGTTAGTTTGCCGCAGCTGGGGTAGGATGTTCTTGTTCTCTCCCCAAAATGAACGCAGTGAAAAGAGGAGGACAAGGTTGGAGGTGCCATCCCATTGCAGCGACATGGGCCGGAGTCACAAGAGACAAAGATTGCGCCTCTTTTTTCCTTTTGGACAACTCTTCCCCCGTTCAGGTGAGTTACCGCAGCCATACACCATTAGAGGAGGTATCCCTGGACATTGTGGCAGGGAATTATCCCAAATACAGGGCTGAATTAGACTTTTGTCCTAAGCAGCCATTGTACACGTAGTTTAAAATGTGTCTGAATGCCAGCATAGGAGGAAATGAGTCCGTTCTTACTGGCTGGATAAGAACATCCCGTGTTTGGTAGACTATCTCAGCACTTGGAAGTGTTACTCTCACATGCTTTAGTTCTCTTAAATTAGTGCATTAATGATTACTTCTACACGATAATGGAAAGCATATGCAGAATCCTCATTTAGTATATTGGAAAGTGCTTCACACCTGTTGTTTCTAACTAGACAGTGGAAAGAGGGGCAGCATAAGGGGGAAGAGTTTTGGGAAATAAGGAGAAGGGAGAAACGGAGCTACTGTCAGTGAAATGCATGACAGTTTAGCCCAGCATGAAAGTTCGTGTTCTTACTGCATGCTTCCCCCGGTGCATGGGGTGAGGAGCTTTGTATGTCCAGTCCCAGGTACAGTCCTTTGGAGAACTGTAAAGTGAGGAAGGAGTCCCTTACCTAGCACGGTCAGGTGGTACGTCCTGTGGAAATTCCCTTCTGTTGCTACCACTTCGCGGGTGTAATTTCCCTCATGAGCTATTCCCACTTGCCGTATTTCAAGGGCAGGATTCTGATCTGGTCTGAATTTCCAGCCCATGCTGTCACTGCAGTTTGTTCTGTCTGTCTTGTTCCGGTCCGCCCTGTATCCCAAGGTGCAGGGACCTCCAATCTTGGGGCTTATTTTCCATGTTATCATAGTTGCATTTGATTTGGGAGGGCAGGTGAGGTCAGAGCTGTTACCTATTGTTGCTGACACCCTGCTGTTCTCTGAAGGAGAGAAAGAAGGAGAAAGACGTGTGAGAAGATGCCTAGGGATGTTACTCATGGCCTTGGAGTTCTGGTCTGTGCTTCACAGAGAAACGTCTGCATTGTTACATGTCAGCGTGAGACCCTGTCTGTGC